AGTGTTAGATGATAATGGGTAGATTCTGGGATAGTGTCTGAGAACTCACATTTCTAAGAAGCTTCCAAGTACTGTTGATGTTACTGGACCAGGTACTACACCTTGGGTAGCACCTATATTCTGTATTTGAGAGTATAGAACATATTTGAGTAGTATTCTATATTTGAGAATTTCACTGATAAATTCCAAATGCCCAGGGAATTAATTGCCCTAAGTCTATTTTGGTGACTTTTCCTAGGACACTGATTTTACAGAAAATTATCTCAGGAGCTCCAGGTATTATTATTATTATTACTATTATTATTTCTGTTCTAAAGACATTCAATATTTGCAGGAGGAAAAATAGTAACGTTACAATGGAGAAACCTGGTAGATACCACTTTTGCTCAATGATCAAAGTTAACATCTCCAGGAAAGGGACAGACTGACCACATGTGCTTCTCAATATAATGCTCAGAGAGAGACATAACATCACTTATATGATATTCCTGTAGAAAATGCTTAACCTGAATCTAATTATGAAGAAACATCAGACAAACTCAAATTTAAGGATAATCAACAACAACATTTACTTGTTTTCTTTGTTATTTGTGTATTCTGGCTCTTGTAAAAGGAATTGATAAATTATCCTTGTTTTTAGAGTCAGTAAAAAATTTTTTTAAAAATCTTTTATTGTGATTTGGGTGAAAGTTTATGGAGGAAATTGGTTTTCCATTCAACAGTTCATATGCATTTTGTTTCACGATGGTAGTTGCAATCCCCTCAAAGTATCAGCACTCTTCCCACTTCCTTCCCAGGTTCCCCATTTCCGTTTGTCCTTTGTTCCCATCCATTTCTGCCTTATGAGCTTTATCTCTGGGAAAATGCTGCATTTTTATTTCTATCGTTCAGGTATTACTTTTGAGTAAACCAAGCACTATGTTAACTGCTGTCATTGAGTCATAGGCCTACTGCAATCTAGAACACTAGAGATTGTCCTTTCCCTCCATCTTTCACTGCTTATAACTGCATTGTGACCATTAAATCATCCTTCTTGGTAGTGGAAAAGAGAAAGATCTGCCAAAATGTTTTCTTGGAACTGGGATTGATGTAGTAGAATCTTCTTCACCAGGATTGCAACTTTACCTCAGACTTTGGGCTAGGTCTCCAAGTCCTGGAGAAAAACTTTTACTTGTTCTTCAGCTAGAGACCTGGACCCTTGAGGAATGAATACAAAAGGCTTTTAGTGGTAGTATATCTGGCTTCCTGCTTGACCAGTTGGTTCCCTGGCCATATTCTTAAAATAGAAAAATGACTAATTACAGGTCTGCCAGGACTACATTTGATCTGCTCCAGAGAATATGTTTTTAAGTGTCTGAAGGACTCATCCACAGGAATCTTGATGGTACCAGCCAAGATATCTGAAGTCCAAGGATGGCAAACCTCAGGGGCCACCCAATACTCCTGGTGAGGTTCCAGCTAAATAGAAGCAGGGATTCAGACATGTCTGGGCAGGTCTGCTGAATATGTAGGACAGGCAGGCCTGGAATCTATTTACATGACACTTTTTGGCTGAAGCAGTTTTGTATCCTGATCTCAATGGAAAGTGGAATGGGGAGAATAGAAACTATGTCAGTTTTAGGATCCTGGCTTTGAAACTGAGTTTAATAAATGGAATTAATTAGTATGTGCAGCTTTTGATAGCTAACAATTGTTCAATTTATATGAAGAGTTTTGACACTTTGGAAATAGTTTAGCCTATTATCTCTAAAAATCTATAGTACACATTTAGGAAGTTGTATTAAAATTAAAGGAGGCTGATTTTATTTTACCAGGGTTTTTGCTGGATATGTGACAAAAAAGGACAAGTCACATTTTATGACTTTGGAAATGTTGGTGGATGAATGAATTTCTTTCTAAATTGGACACTATTTTAATTTTGTCATTTGGCCCAATGTTATTTATAGCATTTTTCCCTTCGGGTACAGGATCCAGTCTAGGGTCAGGACTGCATTTTGCTGTTATGTTTGAGCATTATTTTAATTATGACAGATGTTTTATTTTTGTCATACTCAAGGAGCTATATTCCAGAAGGAAGTCTGGGTAATCTACTTCTGTAAGAATTTACCACATCGGAAACCCAAAGGGGGTCTCTGTGAGTCGGAATCCACACGATGGCAGTTAGAGAGAGAGAGAGAGGGAGAGAAAGAGAAAGAGAGAGAGAGAGAGAGACAGAGATAAAGTCTTAATTTCCGTGTGCACCTGATGAAATTAGACTTCTGGTAGATTTTTCCATCATTGCTTTATTTTAATTTTGTAATTCTTAATGAGTTCCTAAGGCACTTGACTGATAACCAGAAAGCTGGCAGTTCAAACCCACCAGCCACTCCTGGGGAGGAAGGTTGGGTAATCTACTTCCGTAGTGATACTGCCTCGGAAACCCAAGGAGGGGTCTCTATGAGTAGGTCCAACTTGACGGCAAATAACAACAACAATGACTTGGATGTACTCATACTCATTAACACTAGTTGCTAGCAACTGCTTTTATTAATTGTGTTATACACATAAGTAAATTAGACTTTTCTGGGTCATAGTTGAAATTCTAGCAATAGTCTAAAGATATTAATTTTAATTTTAGGAGAGACTGCTTTTTGGTAGGAACTTTGATGGCATAGTGCCTAAGGGATTTGACTGCTAACCGAAGGCTGGCTGTTCAAACCCACCAGCCACTCCTGGATGGAAGACTGGGCAATCTACCTCGGTAGAGATCCCGCCTTGGAAAGCCAAGGAGGGTTCGCTATGAGTCGAATCGACTTGACGGCAGTTTTTTTGTTTTTAACTTAATTTTTTTGGTACTAATTAGCCTAAAGCATTATTACTGAAAAAGTAGGAAACTCCAAAAAGGAAAATGAGATAGTTTTTTTTTTTTTTTAAAGGAATTATTGACACTGACAAATAGGAAATAAAAATTAAAATAATTAAAACAATTTGGATGTTGTTTAAAAGGGCAGCTGTTGGTTTTATCACTCCTCCTTGCCAAGACACACATCGGTATCTGTTAAATTTGATGTCTTTCCTCTTATTGTCAATGGCAGCTTTAAAGCTGCTCTAGCATCCTAGGACAAAGTAACAAATCAATTTCAGGAGGGGAAACCCTATCTGCCCAGCTCTTCCCTTTTCTTAGCCTATCCCTAGTGGCAACCCAGTAGCTCCTCTGCACTAGTAAAGTTGACTATAGTTTTCTTGTGGTTAACGGCAGCCTGTTTTTATTTCCCTTTCCTCTTTTGCTGAGACCCTGAGGCTGGAGGGCAACAAAATCTTTCAAAAATCTAACCATTAAACAAACTCTACCTACAAAGAGGCTCCTTTCCTTCTATCAAATTTCTCATTTGGTAAGCTCAGTTGAAAGCCAATGTTCTCTGATAAACATTTTAATAATCATTCCTAGTAAAGAAGGTCCTCACAAAAGGGATAAACTTTTTAAAAAAGAATTAGGTCATTGTTTTTCAGAGAAAGAACATTTTTATTTAGCAGTGTTGGCAATATTGACTGTTCTTTGCTTTTCACTTCTACAGCCCCAATCCTCACTTCTTTGATATTTTTAACATGCTTAGGCTTTAAGTAACACAACAAACTGGATATTTGTGTTGATTATCTAGGTTACGTATTACACAGGGGATGCCAATTAATACCTCAAATTGCAGTCTGAGACTCTTAATCTTGTGATTAAAAATATTTAGCATTTCCTCTCCTTCCTTAAGTGTCATTATTTAATCTCCAAAAGCAATCGACATCATTGTAGGTTCATCAACATGGACATTAGTGTGGAAATCCACCCAGCCCTATTCTTATTTCACAAAGTCCTTAGAACTCCAACACGATAAAATCTATTTGTATAGTCAAATGTTCTGGTTCCTAGAATGTGCTTCCGGTAGGTTGCCTGTCAATTTTCACTTTTCTTGGTGATTTTTGTTTTTTTAAGGCTCTAAGATTCACTTTATTTAGATGAAGACAGTAGGATAAAGTGTGCTCTTTACTACGGGAATGAGCTTCCAACACAGATGGTATTTTTAAAGAGGCAATTTTAGGTTTCATATGTTTACAGGGTAGAATCCTCATTCACAATTTGGTTCTTTCCATGGTTAATGACAGGTATGCTATCATTCCTAAAAGGTGTTGCTGGACCTAAGGTCCCTTTGTCTTTCTGAAGTGATTTGTAATTAACCTCAATGTGGAACTTCCAGCACCCTGGAATTAATTTCAGTGATAACTATTTCTCAGCAAATATATATATCCTTTACATGTTTGTTCTAAAGCCTGAACAACTTTTTTTTTTTTTTTTTACATCATCAGGAATTGAGTACGTTGGCTTTTTAAAATTTTTTTATTTTTTCACTCATCATTTATTTACAAATACACATTATAACTTTTATATACATTGCACATTTACATGGTAGAAAAGTACAAAACTATATATTTAAATGAATTTATATTTAACTTGCCATGTTTGAAAATATAAAATTGCATCAGAAAAAAGTATTATGAAAAGCAAGAAACTTGAACTGATAAAGCTTCGGTATAACTTTTAGTGACACACTGATTGAAAAAGAAGTAATTTAAAAGGTACAGCAGACTAACTTAAAGGAAACACCTAGCAAAAGGTCAAATATGTAGCATTTCCTTCCTTCAGTCTCAAGACACCCATATCATTCAATTTCTTTGGATCTGTAACATCTTAAAAATACATTAGAATTCTAACAATGTCATCACTATAACATTATACCAAGAGAACTGAACTAGGAGTTTCCTCAAAGATGTACCCACTGTACCTTGTGTTTGAGTCAGTTATAATGCCTTTTGGTCAGTCAAGATTCCTTGTAAACAAAACCCGAGGGATCACATAATCATGTATGTACAGAACAGGCAGCAGAGAATCCAATAAATAAACATGACAGAAACTGACATGCAAGTTTGTTAAAGTGGAGAAGCCTAAAAACGGTGAAATGAGGGGAGACAGATGAGTGAGTGAATAGTAAGGAATGGAATTAAATAGTTTACAAGGAAAAAAAAAAAAAAAGCTTTTACTTTACAAGCAAGAGACCTCACAATAAATAACTGCTCTTCCTTTCACGAATAAATTTCTTCAAAAACAAGGTGTACAGTCAACCAGACATTTTATGTATAAATTATAAAACATGACACAGTATAAATAAATGTCTACAAGTCTCAACTACAGGCCTCATCCAGTAGACCTCACAATGACTGCCTCTCCGGGTCCAATGAGTAACAAGGTAGCCTGGGAGAGAGCTTTAGGACAAAGGTCCTTTATGTATAGTTTTCCCCCCAAATAAATAAGCATACACTTATGTACAGTATGGACAATATATTTTTTTTCTTTTTTTTTAGTTTTTTTGTTTGTTTTTGTCTTTTTGCCCAAAGGCTAATATCAACACTGAACACTGGTGGAGGGTTTACCACTCTAGAATGGAAGATATAGGAAAGCTGTAGTCCTGGTCTTCATCTTCCTCCTCTTCCTCGGTGTCTTCGGAAATGGCTAGATGGGGGAATACAGGGGAGCTGTTGTTTAAATAGGGACAACAACAGCGCAGAAGCAGCTCAGTGTATGTTTTCAAAGCCCTCTGATACAGCCATATTACAGCGTTGCATTTTTATGTGACTTGCAGTGAGATGCTTTATTTTTTGGCATCTGCTGTTATGCAACAAGTTTAAACTTTTTTTTTTTTTTTTTAAACATAATCTATGAAGTCAAAAACTGCAGAAAGTTCTGAAGAATCAATGGCTCAGGTTTTACGGGCAGATTCCTGAAATCAGATAAAAAGCGCTCTTGTGTTCTAGGTATACTGCTTTGGGTCCTTAATTCAGAATTAGTAGAGGCAACTGCGAAAAGCAGCAGCCCATGTGTGATAATATAAAGCTGCCTTTGGAAAAGAAAAAAAAAAAAAAAAACTCTCGAAGCAGTTAGTTTAGAGTCAAGTGTTAATCAAGCAAATAGCAAAAGCACACTACTAAAGCGAAAGAATTAGGGCAAACGACTGGAAATAGGTTTTTAGCTGCAATCCAGTTGCTGGTCACTGAACTAGTCCTAAAAGCCAGGAAACATTCCAAAGAACTTTTCTGTGGATCACTGAATTGCTGGTGAAATTTAGCAGCTACCTAACTTAAACAGAAATGGGCTTACGTGAGAGGTTTGCGTGCTTTTTAAGTCTTCGTTCCCTAGGGCTTGCCTGGGAAAGCCTTAAATGGCAGCAAGGTTAAAAATCGCACTTACAGTTGCAAGAGCCGGAGTGCTTTACTTCCAGCAGCACACCTGAGGAGCAGGCAGCTTCCTTCATGGCACACTCGCTGGCGTAAGTGGCATTGTCACTGGCACAGACAGGCTCGTCAGACTTACTCTCAGGGCACAGCTCATCACAGAGGGAACACCGGCCTCTGCCAAACTTGAAATCCCATAAACACTTTTTTCCACCAGTGCACTGGATATCTTCACAGGACTTTGCTTCTAGGATATAATAGATCTGTGATGAGTGACCTGATTTCTCCTTCCACCCTTTTGTCCCTTTCGCTAGTCCTCTACTAATAAACATGCAATATATATCTTATTCCTCTTTAATGGTGGTAAAGGAGACATTTGGCAAAAATGCACAATCATGAAGTTAAAACTCAAATTCAAACACACACAACACCCAGACACACAAACACACACACAACAAAACCTCAGTTTCTTCTAAACTACATTCAAACATGGAAATACTAATTTTTGGATCAGGATTTCACAGTATCTTTGAGTTAAATATATATCAGATTATTTCCCACAAGTGGGATTTTAAAAAGGAAGAATTTAATCAATTATTGGAATCTGGTAACAGTCTACGAACTGTGAAGTAATTATTTCTTTCTTCTGGCAAGTCTGGATCTTGAAAAAGAAAAAAAAACTTGTAAAATTGAACGAAGTCTCAGTTTTTTAAGGTGGAGAATGGTTATTTGCTTTTTGCTGGCATTTGAATATATACGTGCCAACCCTTTTGAAGGACAATGATTTCCATGAGGAATGCTGTGGTCAAACTGCAGAGTATTTATCCCTCTGGTGAAATTATGTGTTTGGGTAGGCAAGATGGGACTTTATTGGTTGGCTAGCCTCACAGCTATAACACAAGCACTAGCCTTCTGGCTCCTCTCTTTTCTTTTTTCCTTCCTCAATCCAGAATACCTACTGATACACTTTCCCTCGTAGGCTAATCCAATCGATCTGCCAAGCAGGCAGGTAGCCTTTCTCAGGTGACAGGCACTGGAGTAGGTCACCCCATCATTCCCACAGAGATATTGTTCAGAGGAAGTGGGCTCTGGGCAAATCCGATTACACGTCACACAGTAGGCATTATTGGTCTGGTCCACCACACACGTGGAGCTACCTGGACAGAAAACATCCCGGCAGGTCTCTGAAACAAAGACAGAAATACCCATTAACAGGCATCCTCTAGTTCTTAGGGAGTGAACATTTGATATTATCAGGGAAACCATGAAACTGAAGCTTATCTAACTTTGAAAAGCTACTTTGTGGCCCCCAAATCTACTACTCTACGTCTGTTCCTTCACTGTTCTTAATGAGTCTTTAGAAGGTACAAGTGGGGTCCTTTATTTGGTATCCCTATTAGTATTCAGATTAGGGTCTTACTATGGACTACCTCCCCCCCCAACAAACACACACCCCACACGGGTTCCAGGGGGGTCTACTTCAGGTGAAAGCTGGGGGTTGCTCAAGTGCGAGGACTTACTTTTACACTTGCCCTGGTACTGGACTTCCAGTTCTGGCTGCTCTTTACATCTGGCCTTAAGGAGAGCACATTCATTGCGATAGGTTTTCCCATCCAGCCCACAGACTGGGCCCTTCCAGGTGATGTTTGAACAATCAGGGGCACAGACACAGCGGGGTTTGTTCTTTTTGTTCATTCGGCATTTTTTCCCGGGTCCACAGTCCACGTTTTCACACGTTTCTACAAGTTGGAAAGAGGCATGGATTAGAACCAGGGTCAGCCAGGAGGTACGGGGTGTCTTGCGCAATCGTGCACACATGAGTTAGCAACTGGGCGCTCAGTCTCTCGCCTAGGAACTGAAGATGGCACGAAGAAGTGGAAACTGTGGGCTCTGCCCCCATAACCACATCTCACACAGAGCGTTGGGGCCCTTTATCACCACACTTGGCTAATAAGTCCGGGGACTTCTGCCGACCCTATTTGCCAGCAGCGTCTCACGGGCCGAATTCAACCCAAATGGCTCACCAGGGCTGAGGAAAGGAAGGGGGAACCCGCAAACAAAGCTTTATCAGTCCCAACCCCCAGCCAAGAAGTGAGGAAGCGAAGGGCAAGACGCCCCCTACCGAAGGCCTCAAGTTGGGGAGGAAGCGTCGTACCTTTACAGGGGATGCAGTTGGGGGCGCCCCCATTGAAAATCATCCACTTGAAGAGCGTGTTGTCATTCACATCTTCCTCGGTCCATGAGGTGCTCAAGCGGCCAGTGCTGCAACACTCCTCCTTGCTCAGTTCCGTCTTGTACAGGACTTGGCAACGGCCGTTCTTTGCCTGTCGGAGCCAGCAATTCCCAGCTGCAAAGAGACAGGGGTGGGGAGGTGGGTGAGTGCGCATCCAGTCGGGGTCGGGGTAGGGGGAAGGAAGCTTCTGGTGCAGGAGGGAATGAGACTGAGTAGGATGGGGAGGGGGTGAGCGTGGAGGAGGGGATGAGAGAGCCCAGCAAGAAAAGCAGAAAATAAATCGAAAGGAGTGGGGGTGGGGAAAGGGGGGCTCAGATGGGAGAGGTGGGCGAGGGGGAGGGAGCCAAGGGCGAGAAGCCAGAGCGCCCCAGCCATATCAATGTCAGTTACCCGTGACCCAGACACAACACGTGCAGCTTGCATTGACTTTTACTAGACTGTTTACTTTTATTCGTCCCATTTCATAACCTGCAGCGACTCGAAGAGCAGATTAAAGAACCTGACAAAAACAGGATGCGACGGATGTTTTTACATGTTGGTTTCTTGTAGGCGGTATAGGTATTATTTGTGACAGGGGTTAAGAAAGTAGGAGAACTTGTGTGTGTGTGTGTGTATGAGAGTGAGAGTGAGAGAGAGAGAGAGAGAGCGCCAGCCACAGACACGCAGGAAAGGATCAAGCAAAAGGCACTTGTGAAAAATGAAAGCAAAAAAGCAACCAGGCCCAGTCGGGAGCTGCCCCGCGCGGCCTCCAGGCGCAGCCCGCCCGACGGGCCCGTTTTGCAATCCGCCAGCCCGAGAGAACGCCCGCGGCCACCGCAATCTTTCGAAATCTCCGAGGGCTGCGTCCATGAGCGCCCACGTCCCCGGCACCGAGGCAGCGCCTTGCCTTGTGAGGCAGGCAACCTAACGCCAAGCCGTGCAGACCTGCGAGAGGCAATGCCCGGGGGTGGGGGGTGGGGGCTGTTCACATTATACTTAAAACGTTAACGCAAAAGCAGGTAAAGTTACCCGTTCTGTCTCCTGGGAAGTGTAGAAGGGACAAGAAAAGGAGGGACGCTACGCCTAATCTCATAGCTACATATACCTGTCTCACACCTACAAAGAAATATTTGCAAGTAAATCTTTCTCTCCCGCTCTCCTGGTTAATGTTCGGAATTTGGTCAGGAAAAGCTCTCATGAATCACCAATATGACTTTTCCAGTAATCGGAAAAGCTTGCGGACCGCAAGCTGCTATTATTATTTCTAATTTTTGAAAAAAAAAAAAAAATCTGCCCAGAGGCTGAACAACTCGAATTTGAAAAGACACTTAGAAATGTGCTTTTAATCCATTGCAGAATTGTAGTCAGTCGTGGGCTCCTCACTGTTTTACACAAAGTTAAGTCAGAGGAATGAGGCAAAGGAAAAAAAAAAAACATTGTAAAACTAGTCTTAAAAACACTTCGGGTTAACAGTTTGTCTTTTTTTTTTTTTTTTTCAGGATTGTGTGTGGGGGAGGGGGTTGTAAGAAGCATCCACTAGGCAGAAAGCTACTTCCCTCTGAAAATTTCAGCACCCACATTTCCAAGTTTGGGCAAAGTTTCTGAAACCAGCCACCGGAGAAAATTCAGTACCTGTCCCTACTATCATGCAGTCATTTTTTTAAAGTATCCAAAAGATGTGAAAGGGAGAAACGTTAAGATTGCAAAGGGGTTGACTGAAATCTCCAGGCTACTGATGTCTGTACGCTTCTTCAGAGCCAAAGAGGAAGATAACATCTCAACTCATTATGGTAGAACTTGGAGTATCTAACCCGTACTAGGGAGCGAGCCTCCAGCTCACTCCTTTTCCTTTTTAAGGATAACCAAGCTCCAAAGTCCTCTTCTTGTCCTAAAGTGTCACTGCCTTCACTTTTCCCACTCCTCTCCATCCTAGAGTTGTTAAGTTGGTCCAACATCTTCCGAGAGTAGCGCTGCTCACAAGAGACCAAGTGGAGACGACAGAAAAGTCCAAACCCGTGCCCGCAGTCGAGCCTCCCCAGCGCATCCCCCTAGCTTACCCTGGGCGCTGCGGTCCTCCATGAACTGGCAGAGCAGCAGCAGGAGGAGGCAAAGCCCGCCCGGCTGGTGTCTCGGACGGACCATCCTGGGGGCAGGCGCTGGGCGAGGAGCGCAGCGGCGTGGGCAGCTGGCGCAGTGGCGGGTGGCTCGGGCAAGCGGCGCGCGTCGCAGAGGCGAGC